GTCTATCTATCTGTCTGTTTGTCTGTCTATCTGTCTGTCTGTCTATCTATCTATCTATCTGTCTATCCATCTATCTGTCTGTCTGTCTGTCTCTCTATCTATCTATCTGTCTGTCTTTTTGTCTCTGTCTATCTATCTATCTATCTATCTGTCTGTCTTGTTGTCTGTCTATCTATCTATCTGTCTGTCTGTCTGTCTATTTATCCATCCGTCCGTCCATCCATCTGTCTGTCTGTCTGTGTGCCCATCTGTCTGTCCGTCCATCTGTCTGTCCATCCATCCGTCCATCTGTCTGTCTGTCTGTCTCTCTATCTATCTGTCTGTCTGTTCGAACATCTCTCTGTCTCTCTATCCATCTCTCTCTTACTCTCTGTCTGTCTGTCTGATTTCCGTGTCTGTTCATCTCTCTCTCTATGTCCGTCCATCCGTCTGTCTGTCCATCTGTCCGTCGATCTGTCTGTCTGTCTGTCTGTATGTCCATCCATCTATCTGTCTGTCTGTCTGTCCATCCATCCATCCATCCATCTGTCTGTCTGTCTGTCCATTCATCTGCCTGTCCATCTGTCTGTCCATCCATCTTTCTGTCTATCCGTCCATCCATCCATCTGTCTGTCTGTCTGTCTGTCTGTCTCTCTATATGTCTGTCTCTCTGTCTGTCCATTCGTCTCTCTGTCCATCTGTCTGTCCATCTGTCCGTCCATCCATCCATCCATCCATCCATCCATCCATCCATCCATCTGTCTGCCTCTCTATCTATCTGTCTGTCTGTCCATCTGTCTGTCCATCCGTCCGTCCATCCATCCATCTGTCTGTCTGTCTGTCTGTCTCTCTATATGTCTGTCTCTCTGTCTGTCCATTCGTCTCTCTGTCCATCTGTCTGTCCATCTGTCCGTCCATCCATCCATCCATCCATCCATCCATCCATCTGTCTGCCTCTCTATCTGTCTGTCTGTCCATCTGTCTGTCCATCCGTCCGTCCATCCATCCATCTGTCTGTCTGTCTCTCTATCTGTCTGTCTGTCTGTCTGTGTGCCCGTCTGTCTGTCCGTCCATCTGTCTGTCCATTCGTCTGTCTGTCCATCCGTCTGTCCATCTGTCTGTCTGTCCATCCGTCCGTCCATCTGTCTGTCTGTCTGTCTCTCTATCTGTCTGTCTGTCTGTTCGAACATCTCTCTGTCTCTCTATCCATCTCTCTCTCTCACTCTCTGTCTGTCCATCCATCTGTCAATCTGTCTGTCTCTCTATCTGTCTGTCTGTTCATCCATCTGTCTGTCTCTCTATCTATCCATCTATCCATCTCTCACTCTCTGTCTGTCTGTCTGATTTCCATGTCTGTTCATCTCTCTCTCTCTCTCTATCTCTGTCCATCCATCTGTCAATCTGTCTGTCTGTCTCTCTATCTGTCTGTCTGTTCGTCCATCTGTCTGTCTCTCTATCTATCCATCTCTCACTCTCTGTCTGTCTGTCTCTCTATCTGTTTGTCTCTTCATCCGTCTGTCTGTCTCTCTATCCATCTCTCACTCTCTGTCTGTCTGTCTCAGCTCGTATCAGACGTTACTCAGAAGTCATGGCTCTGCCGGACTCCTTCATTCAGAAGCAGCAGTTGGACGCATCGATGGCTGACACGTTTCTGGAGCATCTTTGTCTGCTGGACATCGATCAGGAGCCAATCACTGCGCGCAACACCAGCATCATCTGCACCATCGGTCAGTCACTGCATTGCCACAATACAATAATTATTTCATTTGAGGTACATATTTACTCTGAATCAGTTCATGCTTTCCCTGGGAATCGAACCCATGACCTTGGTGTTGCTACTGTTTGAGCTACAGGAAAATCTCTTTTGAATATTTTTTTATATTTTATAATTTCAAAAAAAGGCCCCGCCTCCTGCTCCGTCACCAAACTGCAGGAGATGGTGAAGGGCGGTATGAACATCGCCAGACTGAACTTCTCTCACGGCTCTCATGAGGTGTGTGTGTGTGTGTGTGTGTGTGTGCACTCGGTATGACACACGTTCAGCATCTCACACGTGTCTCTTCTAGTATCATGGAGAGACGATCCGTAACATCCGTGAGGCGGTGGAGACGTTGACATCTGACCCGCTGTACTACAGGCCTGTGGCCATCGCTCTGGACACCAAAGGACCGGAGATCCGCACCGGCCTGGTTAAAGGGGTACGACTGACCTGAGTAGAGGAGTGTGTGTGTGACAGTGAGTCAGACTCTCAGTGTGTGTGTGTGTGTGTGTGTCTGAGACAGTCTGCAGACGCTGAGGTGATGCTGGAGCGAGGAGCGTTGGTTCGGGTGGTGATGGCAGAGGCGGATCGTGATAAGACGGACGGGTCGGTGATCTGGATGGATTATCCCAGCCTGCCCCGTGTGCTCAAGAAAGGAAGCAGGGTATTCATTGATGACGGGCTCCTTGCTCTCAAAGTCCTGGAGATTGGTAAAGCAAACAAACATCAGCTCACAATCACCGTACATAGAGATTAAAAAATATATATTTTTCAGAGATTTTTTGCATTTCATGACAATGAAGTTTAAAACCAGCATAAATTAAAATGTGTTTGATTCTTCTTCCAGCTACATTCATGTCTTCAGATTTAAAACAAGTCGTACAAGGATAATGAAATCAAACTAAATCATAAGCAGATTTCATGATGCATCAGATTATTTGGTCATAAATGGATCATTTTCTTCACCCTGATGCATAAAGCATTTCTTGTTTCCTGAACTGTTCTTTTGTCAGGTGAGACGTGGGTGGAGACTCGTGTTGAGAACGGTGGCATTCTGGGTAGTCGTAAAGGAGTTAATCTGCCGGGGGCGGAGCTGGTGAACCTGCCGGCGGTGAGCGACCGCGACCGATCCGACCTGCTGTTCGGTGTGGAGCAGGACGTGGACATCATCTTCGCCTCCTTCATCCGCTCGGCCGAGGATGTGAGGGCCGTGAGGGAGGCGCTGGGAGCCAAAGGCCAGAATATCAAAATCATCAGCAAAGTGGAGAGCAGACAGGGTGTTCAGAAGTGAGGCTCTCACGCTTCCAAACACTTCCACATGTTTCCACATGCTTCAACGTTCTTCCAAACACTTGAACATGCTTCCACATGCTTCAACACACTTCAACACGCTTCCACACTATTCAACACGCTTCCACACTCTTCAATACGCTTCCACACTCTTCCACACGTTTCCACATGCTTCCACACGCTTCAACACGCTTCCACATGTTTCCACACGCTTCCACACACTTCAACACGCTTCCACACTCTTCCACATGTTTCCACACGCTTCAACACACTTCAACACGCTTCCACACTCTTCCACATGTTTCCACACGCTTCCACACACTTCAACACGCTTCCACACTCTTCCACATGTTTCCACACGCTTCCACACACTTCAACACGCTTCCACACACTTCAACACTCTTCCACATGTTTCCACACGCTTCAACGCGCTTCCACACATTTCCACATGCATCCACACGTTTACACACATTTCCACACGCTTCCACGTTTCCACTCGCTTCCACATGCTTTAACACTCTTGCACACATTTCCACACACTTCAGCACGCTTCCACACACTTCAACACGCTTCCACTCGCTTCAACACATTTCCACATGCATCCACACGTTTACACACATTTCCACACGCTTCCACGTTTCCACTCGCTTCCACATGCTTTAACACTCTTGCACACATTTCCACACACTTCAGCACGCTTCCACACACTTCAACACGCTTCCACTCGCTTCAACACATTTCCACACACTTCCACACATTTCCACACGCTTCCACACGCTTTCACATGTTTCCACACGCTTCCACACGTTTCCACATGCTTCAACATGCTTCCAAACTCCGCAACACGCTTCCAGACACTTCCACACGTTTCCACACGTTTCCACACGCTTCCACTCACTTCAACACACTTCCACACGCTTCTACACACTTCCACACGTTTCCACACATTTCCACACGCTTCCACTCACTCCAACACACTTCCACACGTTTCAACTCGCAGCCACACATTTCCACACGCTTCTACACACTTCCACACGTTTCAACTCGCAGCCACACATTTCCACACGCTTCTACACACTTCCACACGTTTCCACACGCTTCCACTCACTTCAACACACTTCCACACACTTCAACACGCTTCCACACGTTTCCACACATTTCCACATGCTTCAACACGTTTCCACACGCTTCCACACATTTCCACACGCTTCCACACACTTCAATATGCTTCCACACACTTCCACACGTTTCCACACATTTCCACACGTTTCCACACATTTCCACACGTTTCCACACATTTCCACACGCTTTCACACGTTTCCACACGTTTCAACACATTTCCACATGCTTCAACACGCTTCAACACGCTTCCACACATTTCCACACGCTTCCACTCACTTCAACATGCTTCACCACTTTTGCACACATTTCCACACGTCAACACGCTTCCACAAGCTTCCACATGTTTCCACACGCTTTCAACATGGTTCCACACACTCTTGTTCTCTGTTTCCTCACATCTCGTAATTTCTCACTGTAGATTCGAGGAGATTCTGAAGGAGAGCGATGGCATCATGGTGGCCCGCGGTGACCTGGGCATCGAGATCCCGGCAGAGAAAGTCTTCATTGCGCAGAAGATGATGATCGGACGCTGTAATTCTGCAGGAAAACCTGTGATCTGTGCCACACAGGTGCGTCATACGTGTTTCTGATGATCAGCTTCAACAATTAAACATATGAGAATTTTGTTCATGCAAATCAAAAGTGTGCGCTTATTAGATCAGCACTTCTCAGCCATTCAACCATTTAGTGGCAATTTAATTTACAGTTTTTTTCAATTGCTAACAAGCATTTACCAATACTTAAAGTACTTTTTCTAAACTCTTAACACAGCAACGCACCTACATCACACAATTAGCCCAATAGTTAATTTTCTGGCCAAAACCGCATTTTGTTAAATAAATACAAACTCTACATTTCAAATTGCTCTATCAAAACACAGCAAACCCGATTCAAAATCGAGACATTCGGTCAAAACATTAGCACTAGTTTCTATCCAACAGAAACATATAGTCAATCATAGCACAGTGACTGTCAAAATACTAACAGTTGATGGCTTTACAAAAACTGCATTACTTGTCATGTTTCAGTTCTACCTGCATATAATAGACAATATAAAAATCCATAGTTTTTTGTAATTTAGCCTTCAGGGTACCTTCAACTGAAACCCATTTTACATTTGTAAGTGTTGAATGTGTTCATTCTTGGCAACATACTATCTAAAACTGAATGAGTCATTACTTTATAGAATGTACAATAGAAAAAAATAGGGTCCCCTATGCAGAAATTCAGTTGGAACCTTGATTGAAATTGCTTTCAATGGTGACCCCCCATGGTAGCTGATGCCAGTGATCAACAAAAATGCCAACATACAGTACATGACCTTTGGTTACTATGCAAGCTTGTTTCTGTCACAGAATAAAAAAGTAAAAACAGTAACTGTGACCTTTTTATCTCACAATTCGGACTTCTGTTATTGGAATTGCAAGTTTACGTCTTGCAATTAAGACTTTATCAGAATTGTGAGATACTGTAAATTCACAATTGCAAGAAAAAAGTCAGAATTGTGAGAGAAAGTCACAATTACCCTTACCCTTTATATTCCATGGCAGAAATAAGCTTTCATAGGTTCCATGTGTGGGGAAAAAACAAACAAACAAACCAACATAAAAATGCACAGTCCAACACACATTCTCACTTCTCTCCCATACCTCTTCTCCCTTTTTCTGATCCAACTACTTCTCTACCTCCTACAACTATTCCTCTCCCTCTCCCAGGCATTATTTTTCTCTCTCTCTGTAATTCTGTGTTTAATAACAGAACCTTCATGTAATTTTTCAAAACTCTAGACACAAAACAGTCATGATTTGTAACACAGGCAGTCCAATGTTCAAAACTTTGCATATTGCGTTTATATCTTTAAAGAAGCCTTTCATTTGCAGAAGCATTGGTTCAAAAAAACTCATTTATTATGAAATATCATAGGAACATTACTTTAGATCACCCACACACAAGATACCCATAGTTTCACGGTGTAGTTTTTAGTACAATCATTAAATATAGCTGTTCAAAACACATGATGCATCTTTCATTATGGTTCTACACATTCATACACCATTGTAATAGACTAGAGAGAAAAGTACAGACACTGGAATCATTAAACAAAATTTGAAAATTATTGATGAAATAAACAACTCACAGCAGGTTTTTCAAAAAACTTGAAATAAGAAAAAAATTAGATGAGAAAAAAAAATAAGAAAAAACTACAGTAGGCCTACAGTAAAATGTCACTCACTGCACTTCTATGTTTTTATCAACCCTGTCTTTTGAATTTGGCCACTGGTTTTTGGCCACATCATGATGGATGTTTTCATTAGCTAAAATCTTGGAAAAAAATCTTCTGGCATGGCAAAAATAGGCCTGACATTGGTCTCCTGTGATGTCATTGCACACATCATCCATGGCCTGGAGAAGAGTATTTGAAAATTATTGATGAAACAATCAACTCACAACAGGTTAGATCTTTGTAATGAAATTAACAGACACTCAATTCAGATGTAATGTGTGCGTTGCATTTTGAAATAGTAATGCTTTGATGTTAAGTTGTGTCATTTTGAACTGGTGATTTTAGTTCAGTGAACAACAGATCTTTGGTTCATGTGTATTGTATCCAAGCATTTGGAAAAAGTGTCTAGAGTTTTGAAAAATGACATGAATGTTCTGTTATTAGTGCAAAAATTATTGTAAAAAACTGTAATGTAATGGAAACAGCTTCAACATTTCTAAATATTTCAGTGATCTGTTACTTAAAAATGCTTATCAGTTGTTACAATATTTTATATATAGAGATTTCTTTCAATACTTTTGAGCTGCTGTTGTTGCAGAAGTAGAGGCTTTACACTGTATTTAAAGTTTGGAACATTAGGTCTTCATTTCTGTCATGCTGTGTTTAAGCATCTGTAAAAAAGATAAGAATGATCCATGATTCTCATGATGATCACGGGTTGAGAGGAGAGATGACTGACAAGATCAAACTGGAGGATTTGCTGCTCCAACATATTCTGAGCTCATTGAAAAATATCCTATCTCATAAGATGTGCTTCCTTTACACAGAGCGCGTGTGATCGCAAAGGTCAGAACAGACGGATGTTGTGCTAATCGTGTTTAGAGTTTTGAAAATGTGACTACAGATTGGACAAAATATATTATAAATTGTTTTTTATAATACTTATTTTTATTTAATATTTATAATATTTAATTTAAAATTAAATAAAATTAAATTTTCATTGACAAAGACAATTTTCAAAGGCCTTCAGGATATTTCTGCTACTAGTTTAGAAACTATTGGAAATTTAATTTAATATTTATATAAATATTATAAATGTATATATGTGTAAATATAATATGTAAATTTATTTTATTCTATATTTAACTTATAAATAAATGTATAAGGATAATTTAAATCTGATGTATTTAATATGTATAATAATATATCTAAATATACCTAAAATATGTAATTAAAATGATATCAATTCTATTTAAAATAATATTTCATTAAAATAACATTTAAAATTAGTTAATTATATAAATAAAATAGTTACAATTATATAAATTCCCTAAGTTTCTGTAACTGAATGTTCTTTAAGTTTTAAACTTAAAGAAAGAATTTACATGACCTTTCTATTCATTTGTGATTATAGGGATTTCATACTTTTTTACATACTGTAGTTTTTCCATGAAGTATAGAAATCAGTTTTTTAAATTTCCTTCATACGTCCCAGTTTCCAAGAACAGGTATTTCTGACAGCTGATGTTGAGTGTGTTGCAGCGCTGCATCGACACACACACATGACCTGATTCAGTGTGTGTGTGTGTGTGTGTGTGTGTTCAGATGCTGGAGAGTATGGTCCATCACACACGTCCCACCCGTGCAGAGAGCAGCGATGTGGCCAATGCGGTGCTGGACGGAGCCGACTGCGTCATGCTGTCTGCAGAAACTGCCAAAGGACACTTCCCTGTAGAAGCTGTTGCCATGATGCACTCGGTACGTGTGACAGCGTGACCTCTGACCCCTGAATGGACGTCACCGCCGTCTCACTCTCTGTCTGTGTGTGTGTCAGATCTGTCGTGAGGCCGAGGCGGCCATCTTTCATCAGCAGCTGTTTGAAGAGCTGCGCCGTTTGACCCCGCTGAGCTCCGACCCCACAGAGGTCACGGCCATCGGAGCCGTCGAGTCGTCCTTCAAATGCTGCGCTGGAGCCATCATCATCCTCACCACCTCCGGCAGGTACACACACTCACACACACACTCTCACTCACACACACACTCTCACACACACAGTCACTCACTCACTCACACATGCTCGCTCACTCACTCGCACACACACTAACACACTCTAACACACACACACACACATGCTCACTCACTCACATGCACACATACACACTAACACACTCTTAACACACACACACACAAACATGCTCACTCACTCACACGCACACACACACACACACAGTCACTCACACACACACACACACTGATTCTACAAACACACACACACACACACATACTCTCTCACATATACACACACACACACTCACACACACATACTCACACTCACTCACACTGTCACACACACATACTCACTCACTCACTCTTTCACACACACACACACACATCCATACAAATACACTCACACACTCCTGTCCAGTGAGACAAAGAGACAAACACATTGTCTTTCCTGCTAACATGGTTTTTTTGTCTTCATCATGTGGTTTATGTTTGGTGTATTGGACTGAGTCTCTGTGTCTGTGGTGCAGGTCGGCTCATTTATTATCTCGATATCGTCCTCGCTGTCCGATCATCGCTGTGACGCGTAACGTTCAGGTGGCCCGTCAATCACAGCTGCTCCGTGGCGTTTTCCCCGCCCTCTTCCGAGCTCCGCCTGCTGACATCTGGGCCGATGATGTGGACAACCGCGTGACATTTGCGATGGACATCGGTGAGTGTGTGTGTGTGTGTGTGTGATTGTGCTCTGTGTGTGTGTGTGTGTGTGTGTGTGTGTGTGTGTGTG